ACTGCCACTACTATACTTACTACTACTACTACTACTACGACTGGGCTACTAGTACACGATACTTACTACCACTACTACATAAATACACTACTACTACTACTAGTTACTATATACAATACTATATACTACAATAATACTACTACTACAAACTACTACTACAACAACTGGGCCTCTTCGACAAACTTACACTACTGTTATCTGATACTACTACTATACTACTACCACGACTACCACCTACTTATGTTACTACTACTACTACTATATACTATTACTACTATTACTACTTACGCGTTACTACTACTAGACTGGTACTACTACGTACTACTACTTTCTACTAATACTACTACTACTCACTACTACTACTACTACTACTAGAAACCTACTTACTACTACTACTTTACTACACTACTACTACTACGACACGATACTTATACGGATTATTGCCTACTACTTACGACTACTATACTACTACTACTACTGCTACTACTACGATCACTACTACTACTACTTACTACTTACTCCTACTACTACTCTACTAATACTACTACTACTACTACTACTACTATTACTACTAACTGACATGATACTACTATACTACTACTACTACTACTACTACTACTAATACGACTACGACGACTATACGTACTACTACTACTATTTTACGACTACTACTACTCTGTTACTACTACTACTAATACTACTAATACTACTACTACTACTACTACTACTACTACTACGACTCGACTACGACTCGACTACGACTACGACTACGACGACTACTACTTTTACTACTACTACTACTACTACTACTACTACTACTACTACTACTACTACTACTACTACTACTACTACTACTACTACTACTACTACTACTGTGATTTCTACCACCACAAATGCCACGACTACCATTATTCCTTATCCTCTTTCATATTCCGCCTCTCTTGCTCTGGCCTCCCCCTCCTACTCCTACCCGCCTTCTCTTCCTGCCTCCTGGCACCCTGCCGCCCGAAGTCGGCGTGGAGGTGTGGCCCACATGGCGGCTGGAATATGTGCACCCCCCCCCTCCCCACCTGCCATCGTAGGGGCATGAAATCTTTAACCGCCCTCCAGCGGGCGTCCCCGATTGAGGAACGGCTTCTGCTACGTATACCGTTCTTCGCCCGCTAGCCTAAACCCAGGGTTGTCTGCGAGACCACCGGAGGCCCCAGGAGGTCCCGGGTGGCTCGGGGAGGCCTCAGCTTGCCTCCAGCATTTGCTCGTTCGAGCCGCGCGCCTCCCCGCCCCCATCCAACATCGAAGAAGTCGGTGTTGGAGGAGGTCTGGACCCTGGAGATGGCTGGGGGGATCGCGGGACGCCCTCGAGAGACCTTGTGGAGTTGTGCGAGGCTTCGGGGAACCACAGTGAAGCCGCACGTGCTTGCCCTTTACGCTGTCCGTGCATCGGGGTGGGATAGAAGAGCATGGGAGGGGAGGGGGCGAGGAGGGAGAGGAGACGAGAGCTTAGGAGGGGTGAGTGGGGAGGGGGGGGGAGGGGATGGGAGGGGGACCGGAGGCCTGAAATGGGCGGCCAGGGGAGGGAGAGGAGGGTGGGGAGGGGAGGGGAGGGGAGGGAGGAAGGGAGGGAAGGAGGAAGGGAGCGTTGGGAAGGGGTTCGGACCAAATGCGCATGGGCGCCCAGGGCCACCCGCAGGGCCGCCTGTGGCCAAGCAGGCCCTGCTATGCCGTTCCAACGTCCATTCGGAGGCCCCCCGACCTCTGCACCCGCAGGGCTTGGCAGCGAAGACTACGCTTAAGTCGGGCGTGTCCCCCTACAGGGGGATTTTCGACGAAACATTCAAAAGACTCCAAAAGTGCCCCAAACAGGTCAAACAATATTCAACACATAGTCCCCAGGCTATTTTTGGATTATTTTTGGATTACGTTTGGGGTATTTGAAAGAAAAAATCGTCGAAAATCCCCCTGTAGGGGGACACGTCCGACTTAAGACTACGCCAGCGTCAGCAAGCGCACCTTCGGAGGCCCCTCCAGGGGTCAGGCTGATACCCCCGACGAGGAGGGATACCCTCCGTTCGACAAGTGGGAGATGACAAAGGTTGATGCGTTCCATGAGACTCCACGGGTCACCACACACGTGCTCCACTCCAAGGAGAAGTTACTCGTGCAGCTCTGTATTGTTATTGGCCAGCTCGCCAACGAGGAACACTATCGGGCCCTCTTTCTGTACCACTACATGCCAATTGAATACGGTTCTGAAGTTCGGGAGAACAAGCACACGATGGATTGTTTGCTGTTCATGTTCCACCAGGTTGCCAGCATCGGAGACATTCTGAATGACGTGACATTCAACAAGCTGAAGCATCAAGCCCCCTTGAGCAAGGTCCTCCCTCTTCTTCTGCTCAAGCTATTCCCAAATACAGAGAGTTTCTGCGCGGCTTTCCGCACTGCCGCTGGCATTTGTACACGCCATCAGAGCCATGAGAAATCGTGCTATGTACATGTATGGCGGGGATTAGGAGGGGGAGGATGAGGAGGAGGAGGAGGAGGAGGAGGAGGTCGAGGTGGTTGAGGCGAAGGCCCGAAGTTTGATGTTCAGCAAGAACGCACGCCCATCGGCCATTGAGAGGATATTTACTGGTGAAGGTTGCACGTCCTCCACAGTGGGCCCTTGTTTTTGATTGCTCGTGGGCAGCACGCAGAGCAAACTTAGTCACCCACCCGCTCAGACCCCCGCGCATCCACCCGCACCCACCCGCCAGATTTTGATTTGGGGCCCAATTGGTTGGACCCTCATTTACGGCTTTGGGCCCCTGACAATGTTTCCCGACGTTCACTCCCAGGCGCGATGCAGAGAATTTTCCCGCGTTCTGTGGGGAAAACGAGGGTGCGGTATGGTGCGGGCTGGAACCCAGTTCTCTTCCAGGCGCAGCTCCAAGTCCTGGTTTCGACTGGAAGAAACATGGGTCCAGTGCAGATCCGCAATGCAAAATTGCAGATCTGGAATGGACCTCGTCTTCAAAGCCTCGGTGCAGCTTGACACTGCACGTGATTTTTCCCATGCGCAGGGAGGTATTTGAATTATTGCCTAAGCTTGGTACTGGTCGCGTGGTTTCCGAACGGCTTAGCCATTCCCCTAGCAGAGCTTGCGCTGAGGGCTTCTCTTCTGTCTGGGGAAAAGCTGGGGCTGGTCGCGGCGGTTCGGCCGTCGCCCGTCGCCAGCGCCGTCACCAGCGCCCTGGGGGCTCTGGTTCTTGCCATCATCATCGCCATCGCTGGCTGTCGGGTCTGGCCATCGCCGCCGCCGCGCTTGGGTTGGTCCTCGCCGTCGCGTGTTGTGGGGTTGCTGGCCATCGCCCGTCGCCGCATCGGCCGAAGGACTCCGGCTTCGCCGTCGCGAGTTGGTGGGGTCTTTTTACTTCTGTCGCCGTTGTGGGCGGAGGTCTCAGGGTCCGGCCGTCGCCGTCGTTGGGCAAATTGAGTTGCATCCCATAAAGTGGGCCCAGAAGTTTCACCCCATGCGCTGCACCTCCAGGCTGCATCTCGTAAGCTGAACTCCATGGTCTGCGCCCCATCAAGGGCACCCCATCAGTGAAGCTTCGTGGGCTGCACCGCACAAGCTGCACACAATACGCTGCACCCCACAGCTTGCACCTTCTCAGCTGGATCCCAGTGGTTACACCCCCTCAGTTGCGCCCCCCTGTGCTGCACCTCATAATATACCCCCCGCAACGTCGGAATAATTCATGTATGGAGTCCACCAGTTTGCACGAGATTTGATTCACAGATCTGCCATGGACGGGTTGACCAAGATGGATGCTTGCAGGATCTGGCTGGGGTGCGAGATTGGTCGGGAGGTGGTCGAGGTTAGCTGCGGAGTTTGGGCGCCACAACTCTTTGACCTGCTTGTCTTCCAGGAAGGACGAGGAGGGCGACGAACCGCGGATCTTTCAGATGTGTACCCGATAGCAGGCAGTCACTGGGAGGACGCTTGGGCATCGCTGAGTCTGATCGAAATTCCAGGCGGCATCGCTGAGTCTGATCGAAATTCCAGGCGCCCCAACAGACAACAAGAAACAACAACTCTCCTAAACCAGCGTGCACTCCCAAGCGCCTTCCAAACGAAAACCCAGAACAATCGGACCCTCCCCCTCCTCTCTTCGGGCGGGGCTAAGACAAGGGCAAATCCGTTCCAGAGCGTTCCGGAAGGCTCTCGGACCGTTCCGGAACGTTCCGAGAAGGCCTCGGCGCCCGATACATTTTCCAGCGCCGCCGGACCTCAGAGATTCTCGATTTACCCTCATCCGGATTTGTCCTCGTCCTGGCTTCGTCTTCTCTCATGTTCCCCTCCCCGCTACCTTCACCCATCCTCTCCCTCCACCTCCATCTCCTTGCTCCATCCTTCTCGCAGTCTCCATCCTCTCCTACTCCAACTCCCCCTCCCCTCGTCTCCTCTCCTGCTCCCCTCCCCTCGCATCCTCCGCGGGATGATGAGCAGACACGACAGGGGGTCCGTGAGCTCTTCGCCAGCCGAAGGCTCTCCGTGGTATGATTCTTTTTCGATCCCTGTGCTGGGCCAACTGGAGGGCACGGGGAAAGGGAACGTTGGCCATGGCAAAGACAGCGCGGCAGGGATAGGACCGGAAGGGAGGGAGGAGGAGCGAGGGATAGGAGCCAGGAGGAGCGAGTAGGAGTTTGGAGGAGGGTCGGGGATCGACTGCCGAATCCTTCTGGACGCTCTGGGCCTCCGTGAGGCCTCCGGATGATCTGGGGGCACAATCACCCAGGCAGCGGCGAGGTCGCGAACGTCGGTGTCGATTTTGGTTATCGTGCCATTTGGGTCATCGTCGATTCGTGGCTCATCCTCGCGGATCAGCGACAGTCGACATGGACCATAACTAAGGCCGACTTCGACAAGATCCCGCAACACTTTGTTTATGGTCATCATGCTTCCTCCCATGACAGACCATGGTTACCACACATTGCCTTCCGAGCACGACATCGCTTGCAGGATGCCTTGTATTCCTAGCGCTGGCGATCGAACGTACCTCTTCGTAGCTTCCTCGATACGCCCGATGGGTACGCAACACGTACCGTGCTCGCAACGTCCGTGTCAATACGTTGCGTGTTGGCTTAGCGTATCGGCCCACGTGTTCGCGAACGTATCGCGTCACACATACGTGTTGAGTCTTACGTGTTGCGTATTGCGTGTTGCGTGTTGCGGCCGCATTAACACGCTATGTGTTGCGTGTTGCGTATCGGGGTAGCTAAGCACCTCTTCGCATTGGTGTTGGGAAGCCGCCAGATTGCTCCGGCGCAGTCCAGATCGGCGGCGCGTGTTGACGGTTACGTGCTGCGACCTGTCCGAGGGCACCCAGGCTTGCCCAGCCGCTGGTTGCCCCAGGCTGCGGCCCCATTCCCTTCTCCTCCTCCTCCTCCTCCTCCTCCTCCTCCTCCTCCTCCTCTGAATGATCTCCAGGGTACTGTCACTCGTCCTCCTCCTCTTCTCCTCTTCTCCTCCTCCTCCTCCTCCTCCTTCTCCTCCTCCTCCTCCTCCTCCTCCTCCTCCTCCTCCTCCTCCTCCTCCTCCTCTCAATAATCCCCAGGGCACTGTGACTGAGTCCCCTCTCGCTCGCCCCCCCCCGCCCTCGTCGCTCGCCGCGGCGGTTCCAGCCCGAGGCCCGCCATCCCTCGGCGCATCGGCCTCGCAGCACATCGGATCGACGCCTCGGGGCGGAGGGCATCGCCAGCCTCGGGGGGGGGGAGGGGGGGGGCAGCCTCGGCGACGGACGGCGCCCGAGGCGGAGCGGCTCGCGTGGTTTGAAGAATGGCCCGGGGCGCCCCCAGAAGTCCGGAGGCGAGCGAGGGGGGTCAGCGAGAAGGAGCAGGCCTGCTCAGAAGGCTCGCACGTCCCCGAGCCTTCTGAGAGGTGTCCTGAGCCTTCCCCGATGACGCAGCAAACTTCTCCTTCTCACTTCCCCCCTCGCTCGCCGCCGAGAAGCGCCTCAAGAGAGTTCCAAGAGGCGCCCAGGAAGCCCCAGGAGGCCCCCAAGAGGTCCCCAAGAGGCTCTCGAGAGCCCCCCAAAGGGGCCCCAAGAGGCACCCCCGAAGGCGCTCCAAGAGGCCGCCAGGACCGCCAAGAGGCGCCTAAGACGCCCAAACAATCCACGTTTCGCGTGTCCCCACCTACCCACTCAGCAGCCTGGCCCATGAGAGTTGACTGGAGGGGGGATGCAGGGACACATGGAACGAAACAGAGCAGGCAACCATTGTGAACAGAGATCTCTGGGGGAAGGTGGTGGCCTTGGAGGCCTCTTCGGGCCAGCCCAGGGAACCGCGTGGGGGCGAGGGAAGGAGGAGGAGGAGGAGAAGAAGGAGGAGGAGAAGAAGGAGGAGGAGCAGTAGGAGGAAGACGACGGCGACGACGAGTACGATGACGACGATGACGACGATGACAACTGCGACGACGACGACGACGGCGACGACGACCACGACGACGACGAGGAAGAGGAAAGCGAAAAGGAAGACGATGTGGCCAAGGACGAGGAGGAGGAGGAGGAGGAGGAGGACAACGAGGACGAGGACAGAGCCTCAAAGTCACCTCGTGGAGCCCTCTTGGGACTCTTTTGGGGGATCTTGGGGTCCTCTTGGAGCTCTTTTGGGGGGTCTGCCCTCTTGGGGCCCTCTTGGAGCCCTCTTGAGGGTCCCTGTGGAGCCCTGGAGGGCCTCTTAGAGCAATTTTGGAGGCCATCGATCAAAGGAGGGGGGGTCCTAAATGTGCCTCCCCCCTGGGGCGCTCTTGGGACGCGCCTGGGCCGATCTTGGGCGCTCTTGGGGCCGTTTGGGGGACCTCTTTGGCCGCTCTTGGGGCTCTATTGGGCCGTCTTGGGACAATCTTGAGGCCTCAAAAGCGCATCAGGAGCGAAAAGGCGGGAAGGCACCAATCATTGAGTGTCATTAGGTTGTTGAAAGATGTTGGCCTCCTGGGGGGTTCCTGAGGGGGCTCCGAGAGCACTTGAAGCCGTCTTGTTGCCCTCGTCGGTCCTCTTGGAGCCATTTCGGCAGCACCATCAGCATCGTCAGCTTCAAGCGCACCTGCATCGCCGTGCTCTCAAAATCAGCCTGAGCCGCATCAGCACAGCCATTCGTATCATCAGCATCTCAATCATCGTTAGGATATCCACCATCAGCATCAGCAACAGCATCATCACCACCATCAGCATCAGCAGCAGCATCATCATCTGTATCATCATCACCACGATCACAACCAGTATCAACAGCATCGTCATCATCATCATCATCACCACCATCACCATCATTACAACGATAATATTCATCACCATCATCAGCACCAGCATCGTCATCGTCATCAGCAGCAGCATCATCGTCATCAGCATCGTCCTCATCAACATCATCATCACCAGCATACAGTAATACTCGTCAGCATCATCATCCTCATCCTCATCATCATCCTCAGCATCATCATCTGCATCAGCAGCTTCATCATCGTAATCGTCATCGTCATCGCTGTAGTCGTCGCCGTCGTCCTCAACATCGTCGTTGCCATCCCCCTCCCCATCCCTGTTTCTCTGTTCCTCCCGCATCCTCCGCATCCTCCTTCGCCACCTCCCCCTCTGAAGCTCCTCCGCCCCAGATCCCGCGCACGCCACCCAGGTAGTCTTCGCGATGAAGCAGCTCTGCGCGAACGACACGGAGCAGAAGAAGAAGGTCGGCAAGAGCGTCATCGTGCCGCTGGTGCGGTGCCTGCACACCTGCCACCCGGCGAAGGTCGCGCGGGTGGGTGTCAGCATCGTCTAGCTTTAAGTCGGGCCCGTCCCTCTACAGGAGGAATATTCAGAAATAGTCCAAACATAGTCTGGGGACTATTTGTTTTTAGTATTTGTTGTTTTTATCATTTTGGATGTTTGTTCTGGGTATCTTTTACTCTTCGTCGAAGATCCCCTGTAGGGGGACGCGCCCGACTCAAGTCGAGCCGGTCCCCATGCCCAGCGGGCCACGGTATCGCATATCCCCACGAGCCCGCGCCCCCAGTCAAGCAGTGGCGAAGCGTCCCGGCTCGCCTGTGGCCCCGCCAAACAATGCTCTAAGAACCTCTTGTGGCTCCCACGAGAGGTTCTTAGAACATTTCTGGCTGGGACTGTCTTGTTCTAACACATCGGATTGATGTTCTAAGAACAATATGTTTTGTTCTCTTTAATATATATATATATGTATAAAAAATAAATGAATAAATAAATAAATAAATAAATAAATAAATAAATAAAAAACTTGGGTTCTAAGAGCATTGCATGGTAGGACTGTAGGGATGCCGGGGCGTTCGGCCCCTGCCCAAGTGTACCGCACATCCCCACGAGCCCGCGCGATCCCGGCCGGGGACGGGCCCCCCGCCCTCGGGAAGGGATCGGCGCCCCGTCCCCGCCAGCTAAAACGGCGCGAAGATCGGGACCTCCTCCTCCTCCTCCCCCTCCTCCTCCTCCTCCTCCTCCTCCTCCTCCTCCTCCTCCTCCTCCTCCTCCTCCTCCTCCTCCTCCTCCTCCTCCTCCTCCCGGGATGACTCGGAATCTCTGAGAATCGGCGGGTTTGGAGGATGTATTGGGCGCCGCGGCCGCTCCAGAGCGTGCCGGAACGCTCCGAGAGCGCTCCGGAACGCCCTGGAGCGAGTTATCCCGATCCTAGCCCTGTTTCACCAGCGCGAAGGGAGCAGCACGCACGATGCAGGGCCCCTGCGGCCCCTCGGCCCCCTCCCCTCTTTTCAAGCAGTGGCGAAGCGTCCTGGCTCGCCTATAGCCCTACCAAGCAATGTTCCAAGAACCTTTTTGTGGCTTCCACGAAGTGTTCTTGGAGCATTTCTGGTTGGTATGGTCTTGTTTCAACACATCGGGTTTATGTTCTAAGAACATTGCTTTTGTTCTTAGGACACTTTGGGGTTCTAAGAACATTTCGTGGTAAGATTATAGGAATGCCGGCACGGTCGTCGGTCCCTGCTCCCCTCAATGCCGGTGCTTCGCCCCCGCCCCCGCGCCATGGGTGCTACCGTCCCCCCCCCGTTGTGGGCTGGGGGTGGTGGGGAACGGTGCCCCCTCCCTGTGGTGGGTGTGCGGTGGTGCTGCGTCATCCTCGTCCTCGTCCTCGTCCTCGTCGTCGCCTTCCGTCGTCGTCTTCCGTCGTCGTCTTCCGTCGCCGTCGTCGTCGCCGTCGTCGTCGTCGGCTTCTGTCATCGTCGTCTTCCGTCACCGTGGTTGTCTTTCGTCGTCGTTGTCGTCGTCGTCGTCGCCGCCCCCTCCCCCCAATCTCACCTGGGCAGCGGGGGGCGTGGGGCCCTGGGACCCATCCCATCTAGGGGTGGGGGGGGCGTGAACCCTCGACCAGGGGAGCATGTATCCACACCTGGGGTGGGGTTAGTCTTAAGTCGGGCATGTCCCCCTACAAGGGGATTTTCGACGAAAAATAAGAAATACCCCCAAAATGATTAAAACATAGTCCAAAACTAGTCTGGGGACTTTTTTTCTAGTATGTTTTGGCCTTTTGGGGCATTTTTGGGGTAGTTTTTTTTATTTTTCGTCGAACATCCCCCTGTAGGGGGACAGGCCCGACTTAAGGCTAGTCGGCCAGAGTGGGGGCCAAAGCCATGCCAGTGGGGACGGGGATCGGCGGACCGATGCTCGGGGTGGGAGGAGGAGCGGTGGGTGGACTGAGAGCGTCCACGCGTGTCTCGCCAAGACCTTGGGTTGTGAAAGGAAGTCGGACCAACATGGTCTGCCCCCCTTCCGAGTCGGATTGGCGGCTTGTTGGAGCGCTACCGCCGCGTGCCCCTGGCATTCCGCGGGGCAGATCCTACTCCTCCTTCTCCTCCTCCTCCTACTCCTCCTGCTCCTTCTCCTTATCTCCTTCTCCTTATCTCCTCCTCCTCCTCCTCCTCCTCCTGCTCCTCCTGCTCCTTCTCCTCATCTCCTCCTCCTCCTCCTCCTCCTCCTCCTCGTCCTCCTCCTCCTCCTCCTCCTCCTCCTCCTCCTCCTCCTCCTCCTCCTCCTCTGGGTGCTCCCCGACGGACAGTTAGTCTGGACGCGGGTCGTGGTCTGCGGGTACTCCCGAGCGTTGGCCCTCGGCGCAGGCCGCTGTGCCGCTGGGGAGGTGGCGTGGCATTCATCATCATCGGGTCGCAGGGAGGAGGAGGAGGAGGAGGAGGAGGAGGAGGAAGAGGAGGAGGGGGAGGAGGAGGAGGGGGAGGAGGGGGAGGAATTGCGGCCCATAGTCTCCGAGGCCTCATGAGCCCCCACTAGCCAACAAAAAAAACACAGATCTACCCCCCTTCCCCCAGATTCAAATCTGATGGGTTCGGGCGGCAGGCTGGAGGCCAGGAACAGCATGTGGACGTTTCAACCTTGGTCTTGGGGTGCGAAGCAGGGGCATTTCGCAGATGTGGTTGTTATCATGTTACATCGCCTTACCGCCATGGGTGTGGACACTGTTTGTCCGGGCACCGAAGCGTGGAAGGGAAGCCATGCTTCGGCAAGGACCCAGCAGCAGCAACAATGACGTGGTTTCTTTCTTTGGTGGCATCACGCACACACACTGACATGCATACATACACGTATACGTACGCACGCACGCACGCACGTACGTAATTATGTATGTGTGTATGTGTGTATGTATGTATGTATGTATGCATGCATGCATGCATGCATGCATGTATGTATGTATGTATGTATGTATGTATGTACGTATATACATATGTCTACATGTATGGTTGCATGTATGTGTGCATGTATGCATGTATGTATGTATGTATGTATGTATGTATGTATGTATGCATGCATGTATGCATGTATGTATGTTTGTATGTGTGTATGTTTGTATGGTTGTATGTATGTGTGTGTATGTATGTATGTATGTATGCATGCATGTAGTTATGTAGGTAGGTAGGTAGGTAGGTAGGTAGGTAGGTAGGTAGGTATGTATGTATGTATGTGTGTATGTATGTATGTATGTATGTATGTCTGTCTGTCTGTATGTATGTATGTATGTATATATGAATGAATGAATGTATATGTGTGTGTATGTATGTATGTATGTATGTATGTATGTATGTATGTATGTATGTATGTATGTGTATGCATGCATAAATGCATGCATGTATGCATGTATGCATGCATGTATGTATGTATGTGCGTATGTACGTTTCCATACACACACGTATACGGAAGGTGCATACACTGAGAAAAGATCGGAGCGTCTGTCCGCCGTGGGCGCCGTGGGCAGGATAAGCTGCTCACGGAGCTCGTCTTCCAGAGCTTCACGCTGCTCCAGATGACGCGCTCTCAGGGGCCGCCCCCCGTGCCCGCCCTCGTCCCAGGCCCGGGCCAGAGCGCCCGCGCCGCGCTCGAGCGCCCCCCCCCCCCCCGTGGGCGGAAAGCGGGGAGGGGAGAGAAGGGAGAGCCCCCCCTGGCTTGCCCCCTCCCTCCTTGCCCTCCTTCCCCGCGTGCCCCCGCCCCCCCCCCCCCCCTCCCCATCGCACCTCTCCCTTTCCCCCTCGCGGGGGGAGGACGGGAGGAAGGAGGAGGAGGCAGGAAGTAGAGCGAGAGGGAAGCGAGGAAGGGAGGAGGAGGAGGAGGAGGAGGAGGAGAAGAGGCAGCAGCAGCAGCAGCAGCAGCAGTCGGAGCAGGAGGAAGGGGAAGAGGAAGGAGGAGCGGCGGCGGCGGACTATGGCGGTGTCGTGAAGACGTGCTCAACTCTGGAAAACTCTGGTGAGAGAATCCTGGGGCCTACACCAAGCGAGAGGCATCCCGCGGCAACTCACTGAGAGTTAAAAATGGAGCGCTGGCTGACGAGACCATGGGGCGGCGCGCCTGTGTGGCGTCGTTCACGAGCTGCTGCACGATTGGCTGCGATTCTGGGGGAGGGGCCGAAGGGAAGGAAGAAAGGGGGACCCCGTCCTCTGGAGTCAAAGACGGGCCTCCGGCCTCGTTGGGCATGGAGTCGGGCCTGGCGCCTGCAGCGGCGACGGCCGCTGGCGCCGTGTCCTGCGGCGGTGGGAGGCCGGGTTCCTCGGCGGGGGAAGGGGTGGAGCCACCAGGAGGCGAGGGCGAAGGAGGAAACCAACGGCTAATTTCCGGGTCACCGCGCCTCCTGGGAGTCGCGGCACGGGCGAAGTCGGGAGCCTCCCAGAAATCTTCCCACATGTCGACTCTGAACTCTAATAGCCTGCTTTTGTCTCCCTCCTCAGGGGCCACATCTGAGGTGGGTGGAGAAGGTGGGTCGTCTTCTTCTGCATTCGAGGGCCATGCGTTCTGTACTGCATCGTGCATTACCTGAGCTATAGCTGCGCACACTCTGTCAGGGTACGTCTTTTTGGCGCTGGTCCTGAAAGTTTGGCTGTCTCCCTTTTTACTCAACAGGGTACTGTGCACCCCCTTGTCATGACAGCATCTCCCCCTATTGTTCGCAGTAAGGTGCTGATGCATCTTCGGGAGCCTCAGGGCAAGGATCCTGGTGGGAGCTCTACCTATGGTCTCTAGTGGGGCGTCCTGCAATGCGCACTGATCAAAGTCGATGGTGCTGACAACTGGGCAGCACTTTAGCGATCTAAGAGGGAGCCACGTAAAGCTGGAGACTGCTTGTGGTTTCCAAACTGCTCGCTGCGGATGTTCCAGCCATGCACACGTGCCTGCTCTGACGTGCTCTGCCATGAGAAGGATGAGGGAATTGAGCAGCTTATTTCCTGTCTCAAGCTGGAGCGCCTGCTTGTCCGTGCTGCATGGTACCCCCCAGTAGTGGGCATGAGTCTTGAGCGGGGGGGGCCCTCCCAGCGTGCTGCGCTCCAGGTCTCACATGCCCCCCCCAGTGACCCAGACCCTTCGTGATCTGATATGTGCAGCCCGCATCTCGAATGTATCGTGCCGCGTGGTATCACATCTGATCGTGTCGATAGCAATGTCGATGGACAAGACCGTGCAACGACATGTACGCTCACATGCATGTTCTCGATATGGTGCTGTATGTCGCCAGTGCGTCGTCTCCCACAGCACATGTTCAATTTGTATACTTCCGATCATCATGCTCTCCTCGGTATGTGCTGTGTAGCTGGCTCTTGAACGTCCCGCGGTCGGGAGAGATAGTATCTTTCATGTGCTGGGTCGATGGCCTCTGGAGGCCGTGGGACAGATCGGTCGATCCAGACGTCGGTCATGGTCAGAAGCGCCTCAGGTGAAAGCTCCAAGCTGGATTCTCGCAGTACTTCCCTGGCTTCGTTCTCCTCCAAGTATGACAAGACCCAGGCTGACTCCCACAGCATACCGTCGACACACTGTGCTGGAATAGCTGGGTGAGCCGCCCTCCGCCGCCCTTCTGGTCGTGTTGGCGGTCCTTCTCTGCTGCTTCCTCCGCGGCAGAGGCCGACAGCTGCATGCCGTGCATAGAGTGTGAGAGGCAGCATCTTGAGGAGTCGAAGGCGAGGTGGTCCCGAAGTTTCGCCTGGATGCGAATTTCGTAGCACAAGCCCTGCATGTCGCCGTGGCCCCCATGACATACTCCATTCGTGATACCATGCTATAGTGCACACGTATGACGCGTTGCTTGAGCGCACGTGCCCTCGGGAAAACTGTCGAACACCACGGACATGTGTGTGTCGTTGGCTCCTTTCTCTCTCTCTCTCTCTCTCTCTCTCTCTCCTGCTCTGAGGGGGTGGTCGGGATGCGCGACTGGGAGGGGGAAGCCGCTGCTCTGCACTATCTGTAAGAAATCGAGCTCGGCCTTGCCAGCCAATATCGCCCTGGAGTGCGCACAGGTCGCTCCGCGGTGTGACACTTTCAGGGTCTGCCTCCATGCTGAAAGGGAGGTCCAGATACGTCGTTCCCATGGCGCCAGGTCATCGTACGGGTTGGGTAATTCATGGCATGTCTTGTGTATTGAGCCTAGCCGTTGTAGGTCGTCTAGTATATGGTGTGTCCACGCTGGCTTTGTGGCGTGATGTAGGATTGAAGTTCTGTGCGCACGTGCAAGTCTGCCTAAGAGTGGAGCCGAGTCATGATGTAGTACTCTGCCCAGGTGCCGTAGCCTATGTATACGTAGTTGTATGTCCAGGTCGGATCGCAAGACTGCTGCGAATACTTCCTGATCTGGCACTGCCTGGTCATCGTGTCTGTGCAATCCTGCTCCTCGATATCTCCTGGTCATGTTGTTGCACAGCGTCTTAGGAGCTCCCTTGTCAGGGTGGATCCACGTGCCAGCGTTGAAAAGTAGGGATGACGTGACCAGAGCATCGACATAGCGAATGTTGATGTATGTCTGGTCTCCCTTGCCTACGATGTTCTCTTGCAAGCTTTCCTGGTCGTTAGGTAGCTTGGAGACTGTCATGGTTGTTGGCTCCCTGCTTAGCGCAGGAAAGACACGCCTTCTCAGGACCTGAGATGACTGGGCAACCCTCGCTGCCCTGATGGAAACTTCCTGTCCCGTGGCTCCTCTGTCGTCCAGGATGACCCCGCGGTGGGGGTATCGTCGGACCGCACAGATCGTGAATTCCCGGCCGAGTCGGATTCCACTTGGAATTAGCCCTGTCGTGTCTTTCAGAGGTCGATTTTTGTTGTGCGAGCATGGCGTGGGCACCGAAAAACTGAGAGAACAGCTCCGACTTGCCTTTCTTGAGTTTGAGGTGGATGCCTCGCTCCATGAAACTTGATGCCACGATGCCTGCCACGTCGGATGCAGTGTCGAGAAGGTGCATGGGCGAACCTACTACTGCGACGGCGCCGTCGTCAAAAAACATATGTCCACTGCATGTGTGGTCGTGGCTGGGTCGTGCGACAGGAGCTGGGCGAGAGACTCACCTTCCAGTGTCGGTATACGCGCAGGTATGTGCAGTGAAATGTGCTGCGTTTGGACAGGTCAGCACACTCAGCCATGATAAAATGGGGTACCACGTGCCCCAGCTGTCGCCCAGGAGCCGTCCCCGACATCGGAGACGCGGCCAGCTCAGAGCCCAGATAGGTAAGCCAGGATCCGTGGCAGCATGGGGCCGTGAGGGCCGCCAGATGCTGGCCAACTCTTGACATCGCTCGAACGTGTGCATTTTTTCCTCGGCGAGAACCATCGAGGACCATCCTGGACCATCGAGCAAAAAAAACACGCACGAAACCGAAAAATGCACAGAAAATGAACGTCCGAGCGACGGCAAGGTGGTGGGGCCCTCCCTGAGACGTGCCATGAGGCGGTGCATTGCTGCTGGCGTCAGCCCTGTGAGCTTAAGCAGCATGCCGACGTCTTCCACAGGATTGCACGCAGTCGTGACCTGTTGCCTCCATGATTTGTAAGAAGCTTGTACGACGTCCACTAGTAAAAACATGGTTCAAACATTCTGCACCTCTGCAAGGTTGGAGAGCGATCTGAGGGCCAATCCTGCCAGGTCGACACCTGTGCCGGCTATTCCTCCAAACTGCATCTCCCCTACTTGTTCCAGCAATACGTCTGCTAGAAGAGTGTGCATGAGGGAGCGAGATTCCTTTCCAATCCGTGGCGATATCATTACTGATCTGGAGTGGATGGGGCGAGATGGGTCTCCTCCTCGTATCCATATGTTCCAGTAGCATCCTTCCCTCCATTGTACCGGCTCCCCGATACGTAGTACAGTCATAGTTACTACAGGAAAGTAGATATGACCTAAGTCAGTGCCAAACTTGACCAGCAACTTGCTTGAGATGCCGTCCAGGCTGGGAGCTGAGGCACGAGACCGCCTACAGGCAGTCTGAAATTGAGCGAGTGTTGGCAGAACAACTTCTTCTGGGGCAGCTCCGTTGACCTCGGCGGGAGCATGTCATGGCTGCCTGGGCATGCGCGATCGGAACAACTGCACTAAGCTCCCCCTTGCAAAAAATGTCTTAGCCAAATGTCGGCTGCCTCAGTGGAGTCTGAGGCTGGCGTGCCGTGGGTTGCCTGACTATGGGTAGTGACCTTGGTAGTATCCTCTTCTTGGACCCTGCTCCCATTCGTCGTAGACTAGCAGATACCTTATCGGTGTGGTGGTTGCACCATTCCGTAAGTAGTTGGTTACCTAGTGAGCGGTAGTACTGTATGGCGTCAGTTTGTGAGCTCATTCTTGCCATAAACGTGCTGTGTAACTGTATCAGCTCCCTGCATGCAGACCCCCGTCCCGAGAGTCCGCACACCAGTCTTCGTACGTACTGCGCAAAATTAGGCAAACCCCGTCCGTGCAGGGTCGTGTAGCCAAATTCTGGCACTGGAAGAAGCTCTGAATGTGACCTGTGCGCTATCCGCAGCCATTTGGCTCGCTTGCGTCTTTTGGCGCTCGCCTGCTAGAGTC